TTTTGGCTAGAGGGGGTATAAAAAATCTCAGCCCCTGACAGCTGTTGGAGAGTTGCCTTCAGCTTGAGCAGCAGAATTATTGTTATCAATTTCAAGGGTCTTTTCTCTTGTCCATAAATCCCTCCCAGACCTGAAACAATGTTATTTGTGACACTACTGAGAATTGTTTGACGCTGTGAGCTTTGGAAAACACATCACATTTCCAGTCCCCACCAAATGCACTGAAAGCAAAAATAGGCAAGCTTTGTGTCTGATAGCCTGTCCCTTCTCCCTTCTCCTGGAGCAGCGAATGAGGAATCCAGATAAAAATTCCAGCCCATTTTGAGGAATAGCTAGGCATTACCAGGCTGTGTTTTGTTACCACCAGCTTTTCTCTATAACTGTCGTTGGACAATGATGTCAATAGGTCTGGATCTGTTATCCCTCATGCCAATGACCCCAAGTAGCCATTTCCCCACCAGTCAGCTCCAGTTCTGTTAGACTACTGCAAGCCCAGCAAAAAACCTTTTTACCCTTGTGATAGGTAGGTTTGGCTCTGGAGTCACGGGAAGGACAGATAGGATAGGGAGGAGATGCAGTTCATAAGAACATCAGACTTGTGCTACTGGGGTGAGACTGACGCCCCATCTCACCCCATATCCTGCCTCTGTTGATAGTGGTAGGACTTATTGAGTAGGGAGTTTAGTAAGTGCAGCCTGCTTATTCTCTTTAGTGTCTCTTTAAGGGCAGCCCACATTGCCCATGAATTTGTCTATCATCTAAGCACTTCTTAAACTAGCTGGTACCTGTAGCCTTCTGCAGGAATAAATCCCAGAAGTTTGTTACTCACTGTGTATGAAATAGGTTTTCTTTCACCTGTTTTAAGATGACCTCCTAGCCCAATCATCATTTTTCCAGCATTGCCCCTCACTGTCAAGCCAAGTTCAGTTCCCTCTGCATGCAGGGGGAGGAAACAGTTTGTCTGTTCTTTAACCTATCTGTCCTCACACGGGTCTGCTGAAGGATGTGACAGAATCATAGTAGCATCACAATTTTCAGCTACTTGTAGATGTACGGTTGTTCTCAGATAACTAGAAATACAGTCTGCTCAGCAGTTCTCACATTCCTCTTGTACGATGGTTTCATTTCAGATCTCCAAGGAGTCATTATTGTCTGATATTTCCTTAGTAATACCAGAGGGGGATTAACGGTGCTGGAAAGACTCTGCAAGAGTACTGTTTTAAGATAAAATTTCTTTGCAGTGAAACTAGAGATAAGACAAACCTCAGCTCAAATCAGCCACAGACGTTTTCCCCATTGCAGATCCACATCTGGATAGGAACTTCATACAGACGCTAATTATTTCTGTGCTGCAGTAGACAGACTCGCCTGACCCAGGCTGAATTTCGACTCCAACTAAATCACATATTCTCAGACTAGAGTGTGCATCTGGGATAACAAGGAAGCCTAACACTGAATAAGTACATAATAGCACCTCCTTCCACATACATAAAACACATCTATGAAAACCCATTTCCGTATTGCAGGCACTTGAGAAATGTAGTGCATAAATTACTGCTGTAGCATTATAGCTCCTGGTATGTTGTAGTTTCTCTGCCAGTGCAAAAATCTATGTCCTGAAGGGAAAACAATCCTCTTTAGACTCAATTAGATTACAAAACATTTATGCTATCAAATAATCTCTATGAAGATTTCTAGCATTTCTCTTTCTTACAGAAAATTGGAAGGATCATGGCAGTAAATGGATGTAGTTTGGCGGGTTTACGCTAGACTGTGTGTAACTTGTCGTCAGCTCTGTATTTTGGATCATATGGAGTGGTTGAAGATAGGAAAGTACAGGGAAAGGTTGTCTAGAGGGACTGGAGTTTGCACCACTGCAGGGTTTCAAAAGCAGGTTAGACAAACATCACTCAGAATGGGAGGTGTTGTATTTGATCCTGCCCTGAGCACAGAAAATAATGAGATAACTTCCTGAGGTCCTCACCAGGTTAATTTATCTGATTCTATAAAACATCAGCACACTAATAAAGTAGCAGTGTCTGCTTCCATTTCACATGGAAGCACTTCTCAAAAGAACAATGGTGGAAAACAACCACGAAGAAGGAAAAACGTGGGAGGGAGGGAAAGAGGGAGGCAGGCAGGCAAGCAGGAAGGAAAGGAGGCAGGAAAGCAGGAAGGGACATCAGAAGAAACCTGGAGCACTGTATGCTCTATTCTTACCAGCACCAGTAAAGCTCCAACAGCTACTACTCTTCACAGTAAAAGAAAGAAGATAGCTCATCAAAAGGAGAAACTACACCAGCCATTACCAATAGTTAAGAGCTACAATTGAAGGGGAGCATGAGGATATGAGTCAAAAAGAATAATTTACTGGAAAACACTAAAAAAAACAGGAGAGATTTAAAGCTGTGCACTGTTGTGAGAAGTGTGTGCAGTACTCTGTAGCATTCTTAATGATGTATTTTTAAAATTACCATAATACAGGCCTTCCCAAACAAAAACTACTGAGATCTTTTATAAAACTCGGTGTTAATACATTTCCTCTACACTTGTATGGAAACACTTTCCTATTGACATAAGCCTCCAAATTAACATACTTTATATATTTAGGTCTGTTTTCTTCTCATCCTCCCTTGCCAAATCCCTTCCCAGATACAACAGTGCCAGGGTTACCACTGAGCACTAAGGACGAGTTCCTATCCCTTAGAAGTCACTCTCCATCAGCTAAGCTGTAATGATGTTCAGCCTACCTTGCCTGCAAAGCAAAGCACAAGTATTTAAGTGAGCCCATTTCATCTGCAATTGAGGCAGGCTAAGAGCACACACATGGTTAATTAGTATGGTTCAGCCAACAGGCAATAACTCATTAAGCTGCAGTAACTCGACTATGTTTGATCATGTGCTTTATGCCCCAAGGCACTTCATAAGCAAAGCAGTAAAGTCAACTTATCTCCCATCTCAATTTCTCTCTCCCTCTCTCTTTTATTCTAACCACAGAAAATCGTGGTTAAACCACAGAGGATAATTTCTGGACACAGACTAGTTCACCACCTTCCTCTTTTTGGCAGATTAACTGCACTTGAAGATTGTTATTGTTTCGTCTTTCAGCCTTGCCTCTCTCCTCATAGGTGCCATTCTGTAGGCTCTCTGCAGCCTTGCTCTCCTTGGGACTGCAGCTGCATCCTTTCTGAGGTGTAATGATAGAAACTAGTCACAGTGATCCAGCTGAAAGGCTTATCCCCGTGTGCCTAACATGCGATATCCCTGTCTGTCCATCCCAGTCTGGTGTTTCTTCCTTCCACAGCTGAGTCATTGTTTCATCATCATAAACCCCAGCTCCCTCTCGGCAGAGCTGCTCTCTCCCACCGTGTGCCTGTGGAGCTGATTATTTCAGTGTAGGTGCAGATTTGCACTTCTCTTCACTGAATTGCATCCTGTTTATTTCCAGACCATTCCTCTAATTACTGACATCTCCTGAGTGCTAATCCTCTCCTCCCTAGTGTCTCTTGCTCTTAGCTGAAACTCTAACAAAGGGATTCTCTACTTCTCCATCCAAATTACTAATGAAAACACTGAATATTCCTGAACCCAGACCATATCCCTAAGGATCGAGCTCAAGAAATCTTTCTAGTTTGACAGTGTTCAACTGGTAACTGCTCTCTGAGTACCCCCAGTAATTTCATCTGGACCTTTTCCCCTTGAACAATACTTCTCTAAAGGCCAGATATTCTATCTACAGCTTCTCACTATAATGTGGGCAGCAAGAAAACCTGTATTTTTATTATTTAATGCTAAGATAATGTGTAGAAGGGAAACTAACTTCCATGTGTCAGATCTGACTTCAGCCAGCATCTGCTTGTAGAGGATTATGATGTGACCAAATGTCACAGCCTGCCTCTTGCAAACCCATTTCAGCACTCACTAAAACCTCTGCTAGTGGTCCCCAGTGCAAGTAGGATGATGAGCAAAATGGGTTTGGGAATAATTTCGTGTAACAGTTCCTAAATCATGGGTTTCCAAACTTCTATGAGATTTGGATCTGTATAAGTCCAAATTCACTTTCCTACTCCAAATATAAGGGATAGGTTTCCACTATAAATCTCCATTCCTGCATAGGTAAAAATTACTGAGCTTCAAACTCAACACCGACTTGAGTGGCCTGTTTGTTTTTATACAAGGTGAAGGAAGTCACTATTTCATTCCCTCGTACTGGAGTAATTTTGTGATTGGAAAATGGTGGGTAACAAATCCAGATATACAGAGAACTTCTTGTGCTTTTCACATCATCCTGGAGACCAGGAGCATGCAAGCAGGGTGCATAAAGTATAACCCTAAACACCTGTTATGTTGCATGGCATGGTAATAAAAGATTGCTCACTTAAGCAAGAGCCTTTGAACTGCTCACTAGAGGAGCCCTTCGCTCTCCAGTGGTTTTTATAGGCAGCCTAGGGAGATTATGTGATTAAGTTAGTCATTTAAATTTAGATACCTAGAACAAACAGCACAGACTCACAGAACAAATACTTCATGATGACATAAGACCATTCTCTTCCGTAAGAAAGCCAGTACTGCAAGAAAGAATTGATGAGAAAAGAAGTATTTCACTCTGTCTTCAATGCAGTCAGTGTGGTTTTGTTCTCCCAATGTCAATTGTGCCTAATAAGTGACCAGGAACCGATGCAAATTAAGCAAGGGCATTTCTGATCACTGGCTGAGAGCTCCCATTGTGCTAATGAAAAACTGAACTGTAAAATCAAGTCAAAATATTTTTTCCGTGATTCCCAGTGGAAGTCAAAGCAAACACACATTTATACTTCCTCTTGCTCCACAGGCAGCTTGGCGTCCTTTTCACTGGCATCCAGTCCTGCCAGAAAAGCCCACCAGGTCTTTTAGGTTCCCACTGGCAGGAAAATTACCACTCTCGCTGCACCAACATTTGGAAAACAGAGAATGTGCTGTGTCTCAATGTTCTTCTAGTCTCCATAAATCACTCATAGAAAAGAGCAGGGATTACTTGGGCAGCCATTGTATGCCCAAAACTGGAGCTGAAGGAGGACCTCCAGAGTCGCTATAGAGGGATTACATCACGAGGAAGGGAGGCTGAGCGAATCGCAAGGATGCCTTGTTACAACAACATCCTGTCCTTGCAAAGAGAAGAATGGCTTTTGAGGGAATGACAGAGCTTTGGATCTCAGCTCCCTGAAGCAAGTTCAGGCAAGTTCAGCCTCATTGCTTTTGTGTAATGGAAGGTTTGGGTTTATTATTAGATCGAACTCAAAAGAGCCTTGCCAAGTTTGAAAGTTCATGATGTTTCAAGCAAAGAAAGGAAGTGTCTTACCTCTTAGGCTAGTATCCCTGTTATGAAACAGGCTAGGAGTTATTTAGCTGTTGTTCCTAACGATGAATGGAAGGTGGCTGAAGAATAGTCTGCTGAAACCCGGAGGCAGATTTGCCCTCCAAAGCTCATGAGTGAGGGCACTGCAGCGTTTCTCCTCCGAGTGAATTTCCTGTTTCCCGGGATTGCTTTTTCTGCTGCAAATGAGATAAACATTGATAGAGCACAGAGCAAACAGAGTCTGCTGTGAGGCTCATCCAGGGATTACTGGCTACTCAAATAGAAAAAGATAGGGTGGGAATTTAATCTGTATAACCTCAAGCCTTGCCCTGTTGCTTACAGCCCTTTTTCACCCTCCTCAGACTCCATCTTTATGCTCACTGGGCATTTGCCTCTATCTGAAGGCTGTCCCCGAGACTCACTGCTCTCAGGCTGGACACATCCTCTAGTTTCCAGGCTTAGCCAATTGCAGAGAGTATGGACCCACTTGTTTTTGTGTCAGCCATCTCCCCAGCCTAAATAGTTTGTATTCCTCCTTTGGGGTTACTGACATTATTCTGATAGACAGCAACCGTGGGTCCTCTCAGCCACAGTTTTGCTCAGGAAAGCTAGCCAAAGCTTTGGATTCACCTTCTATCATTCAGGTAATTTTTTTACCCTTAGCCCAGTTTTATATCCTTATCTGCACTTAATTTTGGTAAAATTTGTCTCTTTTGAAAGTGAGTAATTGGAGTTGTATAAGGCAGGGCTTGCCAGCACCTTCATTAGGGTTCAGTATATCCTTCCTCCGTACTAGCTTTCACACCTATGTGGGCTGCTTTGTATATTTCACAGGCACCTCACATTTGTTCTCCATGTTACCCATAGTGAAGTCCAGTGCTCAGATCACTCCAGGACAGATGATTTTCAATGGACAAATTTCCTAGAGCATAGCACAAAATTTCTTTTGTGCCTCACTTTGCAGTTCTGTTACCCATCTTATCTCACACTCTTCAAAGTTGAGTGGTTCTTCCCAACAACTGCCCCAATCCTATGCTGTAGTGAGAAAGTTCATCACGATGCTCCCGTTTGTCTGTGCCAAGACCAGTCATGTAAGTGTTTAAGAAAAGCAAACCCAAGACCCATCTGTAAATAACACCACTGAGAGGTTCCCTCTGGCTTGATGCTTCCCTAAAGTATAAAAGCTGTTTCTCACTGTGATCCAAATCTTTACCTGTCTTACACTTCTTACAGTATTACCCATCTTCATTAGCTTCCCTGATAATTTTCCAGGTATCTCTGCATCAAAATCATCCTGGTGCCTAGAAAATCAATTTCCTGTTGGTTATCTGTCCATCTATCGGTTCTCTATCAGACTAGGCTGGCTTGAGCTACTCCTGATAAACCTAGTCTGAATGACACAGGTTGGTTGTATTGTATTTTTTTTATCCTGAACACCCTTTTAATTTTTATTTGTCCTTCAAATTTCATTCCAGGCCTCTCCTAACATCAAGACCACAATGGTCAACTGGCTAGGAACCATTTCCTATTTTGTAAATCTGGGTCAGCATCTCTCACTGAGTAGGTTTACAGAAAAAGTAGTTACTGTCGGATTAATGATTTCATGCAATCTGATGAATGAACCTTTAAGGGTCCTGGGATGGAGATGATCTTGTCTATGTGATAAGGTGCATTGACCATACTGCTTTTTTTTACCCATAGTGCAGCCTCTGAAATTTTCATGCCCCAGTTCCTAACAGCTTCCCTGGTTTTACCCCAGGTATTTAACAACTCCTTATAGAAAACTGAATTATGTGAATTTTTTAACTTGATGTTCTATATGACCATCTTTTGTACTTGCTTCTTCCCTTACTGCCTTCTTATGCACCTCTTGTCTGCTTTCTGTTTATGCCTCGGAAAATGCTTAGAGCTGGTTGCCCTTGCAGGAGCAGCAGCTTGATTTACAGCAACTCAGCTTGATTTACAGCAACTTCCTCTTTATATCAACCCATGGAGACCTCTTTCTCTGCTTTTCCCAATTTGTTTTTGGTCCCTCTTTCTCTTCAGTGTCCCTCTGTCACTTGTCCAAGTAGGTCTGGAACCTTCCCTTGCAAAGTCCATCCAGTTCACTGAAGTGATCTACCTGCACCTCAGTGCTGCTGTGCTCCCCTAGATGTGCTTTTCTGGCTCGCCAGCACCTCTGGCTCATCTTAATCACAGAGCAGCCCCTGAGTAGGCACTAAAACACAGCGTGAAACATATCTCCCTGTTCAACACTTCCAGGTCTGGGGTTTGCTTGCTCAACAAGGTGCCTCATCCATTAAAATAGCTCTTTATCCTCACAGCTCCTAGCTTTAGGTGAAGAAAAGGGGGCAGGTGTGTATGTCTAAAGCACAGAGAAATGAAAGTTGCTTTTTCGCATTGTTGTGGCAGCATTTACTTCTGGTAATGTAAATCCCAAACAGAGAGGTGGTTGGAAACAAGGGTCAGGCTAAAGAAGTGCATTCTTCCTGTGGCAAATCAGTATGTTCAGACCATCCAACAGAGCCTGACTCAGTGCTGTGCTGTACATTTTGGAAAAATTTTTTTTTCATCTTGTGTGTATCAGACTTAAAATGCCTGCCTTTAAGGAGAGGTTAGATTGAATGAGGCTTGACTTAAATAATGAAAGATTTTAAACAGGAAAGGTTGTGCCACTGCCATCAGCCCCCTTTCCTCTCCACTGCAGCCACCCCTCTGTTTTCAGTGGCTGGACCTGCAAATTGCAAAATTTAAGTGTTTTTTTTTAATGAGTACTCCCCTCCTTCTGCTGCCCTGGATCCAGGGAGTTCTCCTGCTTGGGTAGCTGCTGCTGGGAGTTGCTGCTGGGAGCATCCTTCCCAGTGGTGCCGTATCTGCGACACCATCCCACAACAGTGTCCTGTTCTGGGGACTGAGTGGCAACTGGGTCTCTGCTGGTGCCTGCTTTCTGGCGTGCTAACTCGGAACGATGATGTGGCAGCAGCACTGGTGTTACATGCCAGGCGGAATGAATGGGAAAGAGATATTTTCATTATTTTGAAAAGCTGGATTGATTTCACATCCAGCTGGCACTACTTATAAAACCTCTTTTCCCCCCACCTCTTCTGTTTTAAATACTGTCCTGATTTCACAGGCTGTGATTGTTTTTGCAGCCCCTTCTCAGGCCAGAGCTTTTGAGAGAAACAAACAAACAAACACACACAGTTTGGGTTTTCTCCTGCACTGACACCATTAGCTGCCCATCACTTTCACAATGAATGTGCTAGTGCTGTCATAAGGCATATGCTGCCAGTGGGGTTTTCTTCCCACCCCTGCTCTTTAAACATAGCAGAAGTTCCTTTTTCTCTGTAGTGAGAAGCTGAAAACAAAATCAACCAGGACTGGCGCTGGCACACGCACCAGATACACCCCTACTCGATAAGAAGTGAGCAAACAGGCTCAGATAAAGCTCAAACCCTTGGGAATCTGGCCCAGGCCATCCCTATTTGGTGCATCCATCTGTCCCGTGTCCAAAACATCACTGGTTTTATTTTTATTAGGAGATTATCTTGGCCCTGGCACCTTCCTGTGAAATGCAGCGGGATCCACTGCCTCTGCCCCACCAGCCTCCTGCCTGCATTGCCCCATGAACAGGAGAGGCTGAGGGTGATGGAGATATGGTGGGGAAGGGGAGCAGGTCAATGGCACCAGGGTGGGGGCTCCCAGCCCCTCGCCTTCCCCACACACTGCCGTGCTGCCTACACCATACTTCGGGAGAGTTTATCTCATCTTGCCTTGAATGCATTTACTGTTTGAACCATAATTACCTTGCTAGGCAAAGTACTCTGTTATCTGATGCCGCTCCTGATAGATGTTTTTTTCCAGCAACATGAACTCAATTGGGCTTCTGTTAAGCATCACTCATTTATTCCTCCTTCTGCTTGGGGTACCCAGCATTTGTAATTGCCTTTTTTCTTCCACCCAAGTGTTATCCACCCAGTAGCTTCTTCCACCCCAGTGTATCGGTGGGGGAGAAGGACTGAATACGTAACTAGTATTTTACAGCTTATTCCACTTGCGTGCTTTTTATTCAAACAAGAATCTTCAAAATTTAAAAGCTGTACAAAGGGCGGCAAATGAAAATGGAGTCAAGCCTTTCAAATCTGTGAATTTCAGATGATTTCAGATATGTGAACAACAGCCTTTAAAATGATCTGCTCCTGCATGCTTTCGAAAGGTATTCAATATCCATCCAGAAGTTACACAAGCTGAAACTTCAGGAAAAAATAACTAGAGGAAAACAGAATAAGAACACAGACATGAAATATCTCTTCCTTCCCAAAGAATTTCTGAGCTTTCAAGCTAATGCTATTAGAACCCTCAGAAGTGAGCAGAAATGCCCTAAAATTAATACGAAGTTTTGTAACTAACCAATGAAGAGACTTCAAAGCCAAAGCAATCTGATTAAATACTGTGAATCCAGTTGGCATCCTCCCATATCATTTTGTATCAGCTGCAATCTTTTAATAGCACAAGCCAAGAGGTACAAAAATAATGCACCACAATGGCATACGGTTTCCTGAAATACAATTAAACTCTTATTAGTCAGATTAACCTGCAAGAATAATCACTTTTGATTGCATACAGTTATATTCTTTAATCTTATTTGATACAATTAAAACAACAACAAGAAAAAAGTAGAGTAAGAAAAACCCCTAATACAGTGGTTATGAAAAATCAGGAACAATCCTTGAGGATGTGAGAAGAGGAAGAGAAATTACCCAGAAAGTGTATATGGAAATTCCACACCCCACTCCTTGGCATCAGATCGAGTGGCTTAGGCAACAACAGGAGCAAAACTGTGGCTTGCTTGCCCTTTTTAATTGTTTTTCCCTTTTTGTATTGATACAAACCAGTGCTGCTCAAAGGGGACAAGCACTCCTATGTGCTGGGGCGCTGGAGCCTCTGACGTGAGAACAGAACTGTTTTCATAGTTAAGGCGTGATCATTACACATCCTCCAGAGTATAAACCAGAAGGCTTATGCAGAGGCAGGCATACCAGGAGGACAGTGCCTGGCTTGTCAAAAGCCAGTGTCTGGCACAGCAGAAACCAGTCCTTCCTCTGAAAACACCAGCCACAGGTTTCCCACTGCACAAAGCAGCTCCCCTTGCACACATGTGAGAAAGGGCAAAGTTCAGCACACCCTGACACGAGGTAGGGGTCTATGGGGGGTGTTCAGCTTCTTTCTACTTTATGGTTGCACTAGATCCTGAGGAAATAGACTCACCCTGGAACTTGGCAGTTTTACTTATTTTTAAATGCCTTATGTAGCTTCAGCAGCAGCTGAATGCACCTGTCATTGGGCTGGGGTTGCACAGACCCTTTCGTGGTATTGTTGCAGTGATCTCCAGATTACATAGGAATAAACACACCAGGTTGTAGAATAAAACTTAAAAA